AGGTTGTCCAGCCCACGGCAGTTTAGACCTCGCCCCTCTGGGCTACGGGGGCGGTCTACTCAGTGCTGCTGCTGAAAACATACACACCTCACATAGTCACACTGCAGAGGACACACAAGCAGACACACAAGCGGACACACTGGGCTGGTGAGTGAACTCTATGATGATGAATATGTGACTTAACTGTTTCTGAACTATCCACAGTAATCCAACAGTGAAGAGTTATCATTAGTTTTATTAATATTGTGGCTGGTTTTGTCATCCTTAACCCTTTAATGTTCACTCCTTGAAGAAAGCAATGTATTTTTTATTTTTGGGATGTAGGACACGAATGACAAATTATTATTATTTTTTAACCCCGTGTTTTTTTTAATCATAGGACTTTGCCAAATGGTTGAGATACAGTTTGATGGTAAAAAGTGTCCAAAACAAAGAGAATGCCCCAAAGAGGCAGATTTCATTTTCAAAATTGAAGTAAAGACTCAAACTGTGATTCATCAAATGGTTGAGGAAACTGTTAAAGGGTTAAATGAGAGAATGTGCCACCTTTCTATATTTAAACAATGTAGATAATTATTGATTCCTTTAATTTATTTGGTGACTGTTAGAAAGATTATTCAAATACAGTTTTTCTCAGTCGCTTTTGTGCATTTCTCAGACTTAAAGTTCTCAAAACTATTAGTTCAACCTCCACAACATTGAGTCATGTGTGACATCATCGCAGCAGTTTCTCCTCTGAACACATTTCAAATGCTTTTGGACATGTATCAGTTACTTTCATACAATTCTCTGCTGTTTTATAACATGATCATTTGCTTCTGTCCTGTCAGTCAAAATGAAACATACTTATCACTTCTCAATAGACATTTACTATAAAACCAATAGTTCTCATTTCATCGCTTTGGTATCACATACAATATTGTTGAACTAGTTCTCAAAATCATATTTGTCAAGCTAATTTCATCCATCCATCCATCCATTTTCTTCCGCTTTATCCGTTGCCGGGTCGCGGGGGCAGCAGTCTAAGCAGAGACGCCCAGACTTCCCTATCCACACACACTTCCTCAAGCTCGTCCGGGGGGACCCCTAGGCGTTCCCAGGCCAGCTGAGAGACATAGTCTCTCCAGCGTGTCCTGGGTCTTCCCCGGGGCCTCCTCCCGGTGGGACGTGCCCGGAACACCTCCCCAGGAAGGCGTCCAGGAGGCATCCTGAACAGATGCCCGAGCCACCTCAACTGGTTCCTCTCGACGTGGAGAAGCAGCGGCTCTACTCCGAGCTCCTCCCGTGTGACCGAGCTCCTCACCCTATCTCTAAGGGAGCGCCCAGCCACTCTGCGGAGGAAGCTCATTTCGACCGCTTGCATCCGCGATCTTGTTCTTTCAGTCATTACCCACAGCTCATGACCATAGGTGAGGGAGGGAACGAAGATTGACCGGTAAATTGAGAGCTTTGCCTTTCGGCTCAGCTCCCTCTTTACCACAACGGTCCGATACAGAGACCGCATCACTGCGCACGCTGCACCGATCCGCCTGTCAATCTCACGCTCCATCCTCCCCTCACTCGTGAACAAGACCCCGAGATACTTGAACTCCTCCACTTGAGGAAGGACCTCTCCACCCACCTGGAGAGGGCAAGGCACCTTTTTCCGGTCAAGCACCATGGCCTCGGATTTGGAGGTGCTGATTCTCATCCCAGCCGCTTCACACTCGGCTGCAAACCGTCCCAGTGCAGCTAATTTCATACATTCCTTTATCTTTTTTTTCCTGTAAATCTTTCCTAAAATGAACAATTTCTCTCAGGTGAATTTCAGCTTCACTCATGAGGAAGTGTGTGTTTTATTGTTTACATTTGTCACAGTTCTACCATAATGATATTTTGTATGTTTGTTCTTTGTACATACATGTATGTGACTGTATTTTTGTTGCACAATGCTGTAGAATTGCAAAATATGCAGCAAATATGTGAAAGACATGCAGTACATACACACATACATACATACCTAGATACATACATAGATACACACATACATATTTGTCAGTTACGTCTCTAAATACAGATCTTTTTACATTGAAAACACAGAGAGAGTAAACTTTCACAATGAAAACGTGGCTAAGTAATTTGAGTGTTGTTCATACTAAAACGAGGTTTGGCAGTTTGCACTAACTGTTCTGAAGAGTGATGTGAGGAATGCACAAAAGCCACTGAGAAAAACTGTAACAGGAAATAACCCTTGTTTCTTTCATTTCATTGTGTTCTGGTTCAGCCCCAAATCTCAACAGTATATCTTGGAGATCGTTGCAAAAACTCAAATGAAAAACCCAGCGGGGAAAAATGAGAAACCCCTGAGACCCACACAGAGAGGAGTCGGGATGGATAGATAGATACTGTGGATAATTTATTGATCTCTGTGGGAGAAATGCAGGTGTCCAGCAGCAGAAGACTCATGGAACAAAGGATCTCTTTGAAATGTTCCATTCGGCAGCGTAGTGATAGGAACCTGTTGTTACAATTAAAAACAACAATTGTAGAGAACTATATCCTCAGAGCTGCGAGGACTTTCTGCCATTTCCAGTGCGTTCAAATCCATCCATTGACTTTTATTGGCATAGTGCCTTTCCTACACAAGGCAACACAAATCTAAACAAAGTATATACAATCAAAAAAACAATAACAATCAAGCAGAAATATTTTCCCACGTGGACTTAAAGGGATTGTCAGGGCTTTGTCAGAAAGAGAGGCAGAAAGGTACTTGATTTGAAAAAAACGACGCAGGCTCCCTCCCCCTTCCTTTCTGATTGGTCTACACCTAAGTTTCCGTAACACTTTGAAATGTTAATCAGAAAACACATTAAAAATATACATTATTAATACACATGCAGGGAGGTTTTCAGAATTATTTGTGAACGTTTTAATGAAAAAATAATGTTTTTATGCACAAAAAAAGCGATCGCGGCAAACCAGGAAGTGCTATTATCATGAATTGCACATTATAGGACACATCTGCAGAGGATCTGATTATGGATATAGGTTAAGTATATAAATGATTATGGATATAGGTTCAGTATATACATAAGTACCTCAGCGCGGATGTTCAGAATTCTTTGTTCAGTTTTCATGTAGTTTCAGAGCCTAATAGAGGCTTGATTCGGAGGCTCCGCAAAAACAAACAACTGAGCATGCGCGCAGCTACGAGCATCAGCACTGATGATTGACAGCCCTTGGCATGACTTGATTGGTTAACTTGGACGGCACCGTGGATTCTGAGCTATAGCTAAGAGCAGGGAAGGCGGGACTTACAGTGCCTTGCAAAAGTATTCAGCCCCCTTGAACCTTTCAACATTTTGCCACATTTCAGGCTTCAAACATAAAGATATAAAATTTTAATTTTTTGTCATGAATTACAACAAGTGGGACACAATCGTGAAGTGGAACGAAATTTATTGGATAATTTAAACTTTAAAAAAAAATAAAAAACTGAATAGTGGGGCGTGCAATATTATTCGGCCCCTTTACTTTCAGTGCAGCAAACTCACGCCAGAAGTTCAGTGAAGATCTTTGAATGATCCAATGTTGTCCTAAATGACTGATGATGATAAATAGAATGCACCTGTGTGTAATCAAGTCTCCGTATAAATGCACCTGCTCTTTGATAGTCTCAGGGTTCTGTTTAAAGCGCAGAGAGAACCATGAAGACAAAGGAACACACCAGGCAGGTCCGAGATACTGTTGTGGAGAAGTTTAAAGCCGGATTTGGATACAAAAAGATTTCCCAAGCTTTAAACATCTCAAGGAGCACTGTGCAAGCAATTATATTGAAATGGAAGGAGCATCAGACCACTGCATATCTACCAAGACCCGGCCGTCCCTCCAAACTTTCATCTCAAACAAGGAGAAGACTGATCAGAGATGCAGCCAAGAGACCCATGATCGCTCTGGATGAACTGCAGATCATAACCATTTTATACAGGGTTAGGGTATAAGCACTATACAAGTGAAAGGTAAGTATTTACAACGCAGACTTTTCTTTGTGAAGTTAAAAATGTATTTATCTTAGAATCAAATAGAAAACATGTTTTAGTAATTCTTTATGAGTTTACTAAGCACAGCCTCTGGAAGATTCATGTATAAGTATAGAGCCGTGTTAACACCTTCTCGCCTCAAGGTTGGACTGAAATGACTCATTTCCCTTTTGCTTTGTTGCTGGTGTTGAAACTAGTGTAAGTAGAGAAGGCTTTAAATAATTAATTCTGCAGGTGTCGGGGAAAGGTGGAAACTAAATCAGACGAGATAAATGCATGCACAGTATGTATGTGATGCAGAGAAGGCAAGTTTATTAGCACAATTCATACATTTACAAAACTAAAAGGAAATAGTAACAATAAAATACAATACAAAGTTTTTAAAAAAAAGTGAGTCCAGCGTTTATTATGAAAAGGATGTTTCAGGTGTTTGTACTTTATTGTTATTATCTTCTTTATTTTCTCTGTCATTCTCCTGTTTCTAAAGATTTTTGTGGCTCCTGGAAAAGCATGTTCCAGCTTCTTCCCTCTGGCAGAAGATTTCATTCGTTGAGATGCAGATTAAACAGAGCACTTTCATGATCTTTCACTTGTAAGATATTGGGGACTTTTGCACTTCCACTATATGTGTCATATATATGTAATTTTTCATACTTTACCTTTTGTTGTGGACTTATGCATTTTAAATGGAATATACGTGGAATAAGAATGTGACCGACTGAGTCAGAAACATCATTTGGAAACCTGTCTCAGCAAACTGAACGGAAATGAAAGTGTATTTTAATTAATTCTGTTATTTCTTCTTTTCTCCACAGTTCCTCTTTTTCTGTGAAAATGAGATCTACAAAGAACCTGTCCTTCCTCATATTCGTGGCTTTTGCTGTTTTATTGCTGTTACTCAAAGATAAGAACAATCCTGACAATGATACAGTTCAGAAAAGGTTTAAAACAACTATTGATGAAAAGGAAACAGCCTCAAAGATGAGCTCTTACGTTTACTCATGGCCCAAGTGTGAACCAAACACATCTGCAGCCAACATCTCAGGCTTCCACACTCTGCCAGCTCATATTCAAAACTTTCTCTTCTACCGCCACTGTCGACACTTCCCCATGATCCTGGACATTCCCGACAAGTGCGGCGGCCCGGGAAAATCATCCGACGTTTTTCTATTTCTGGTCATTAAAAGTTTACCGGGAAACTATGAGCGGAGAGAGGTCCTGCGCAAAACATGGGCCCAGGAACGGAAAGTCAACAATTTACAGATCCGAAGGGTTTTTATCTCTGGGACGTCGGGCAGTGGCGAAGAGAAGATGAGACTAAACAAGCTTCTACGAGCAGAAAATAAGTTATATTCTGACATTCTGCAGTGGGACTTTCAGGATTCCTTCTTTAACCTCACCCTGAAGCAGATTCTGTTTCTGGAGTGGATGGAGAGAAACTGCCCCAAAGCTCGCTTCCATTTTAATGGCGACGATGATGTCTTTGTCAACACAAACAACATGGTGGAGTATCTCCATGACCTCCAGGACAACGATGGCAGCAAGCATCACTTTATCGGGCATCTGATCGAGAATACAGGCCCTATCAGATCACCAGCGAGTAAGTACTATGTTCCAGTCCAGGTGGAGGAATCTAACCACTTTCCTCCGTACTGCGGCGGAGGAGGCTTCATACTCTCCGGCTTCACGGCTTTAGTCATTTACAACATGTCCTTGTCCACACAGCTGCTTCCTATTGATGATGTTTACATGGGCATGTGTCTGGCCAGGGCCGGCTTACGTCCTCAGGCACACATGTTAGTGAGGACTTCAGGACTTCACATCCCGTCCAAAGTGGATGGACACGACCCGTGCATTTACAGAGATGTCCTGTTGGTGCACCGCTTCCTGCCCTGGCACATATTTCTCATGTGGGTTCAAATAAATGATCCTGGTCTAAACTGCAGTACTTCTTCCAACATTTCCAACACAAGATGGCAGAAATGAAGGCGTTTGACGGAAGAACAGTGGAATATATTGACTTCTCCAAACTTACCACGAGACAAATGGACTAAGGAGGGAAATGAGCGGAGAAACTCACGACAACTTTTACTGCAAAATACTAAAATACGACTCTTTACTCGAGATGAAGTCTTTAAAGTGAGAGTCTGGAAATCTAAATGAATTACACATTTTAAGATATCAAATTGACCTCCTGGCCATAAATAAACTGTTATCAAATAATAATGATCGGTAGAACATTTTGAAATTACATTAAAATCAATGGAACGTTCTACAGCTGCTGTGAGGAGCGTGTAATAAGGTTTTGGAGAGTATTCTCTTAACTCGAGCCATATTTTTACACCACTGCTAACCAATTTGGCTTCAAGCCTGAACATGACATGTGCATCTATGTCCTCAAAGAGATGTTGGACAAATATAACTCTCAAGGATCAACTATGTTCATGTGTTTTCTGGACGCATCTAAAGCGTTTGCTCGAGTTAACCATGGAACGTTTAGGTTTGTGTAAACCCTCAGTCGTACAGGGATTAGTCAAAGCAAAGGAAGGTTTCTCACCCATTCTCAACGCGCGGTCTGAGAATTCATTCCCTGAAGAAGTCCTTTGGATTGAGGACGAAACGTCGGGAAAACCTGCTAAGAAGTACAGCTGATGGGTGAGAAACCTTCCTTAACCATAGATCATTGTTCCAAAAATTCTGTCCGAGGAGGAGCTCTGTAGGTTCTCTTCTGACTTATGGAGGCATTGGAGGTCCTGCCTGTACACCTGTTTTTAGTTTTATTGTATACGTATGTTTTGTTTTTGTTTTTAATCTATGAACCAGTTTTCTCTGTGTTCTTAATAAATAATAAATTGAATTTACTTTAAAGTGTGAACTTTGGTACTCAGTTTTATTTTATAATTACCTCTTTGTATGATTCAAAGATGGTTTAACATTTCTGTCATGGATCTTAGGTCAGATTTGTTTCACATTGTTATGAAGGAAACTCTTTGTTTAGACTCAAAGAAAAGGTTCTTATTATTTAAGGAAGTTTGACACTGACTCTTGACATTGTTGTCTTTGTGTCTGACACTGAGCCTCACCTGGAGGCCCGCGGGGCGAATCGTGCCCACTGAGCCGTTTGTTCCGACCTGCGACTGTATGGGCTTTTTGCACGGGGAGGCGGGACGTCATTTCCTTTAAACAAAGAACAGCCCGTTCACTTCCTGTCTGTGTTAGCGCTACGGCTGTGGTGAGTTGTAGTAACATTTTTTAGTAATTAGATTGATACATTCAACTGAGACTGACCCAAAGGTGTGGAGTGCTTTCTTTCTTAGGAATAGCTTTGACTGTGGCCACTCAGAGAGATTAGTTAACTTTATAAAAGCACAACGACAGCACAATCAAAGAGCACTGCTGTGTCCCACAATGCACTGCTTCCACACAGTTTAATTCCTATTTGAGCATTATGTAGGAAACTCTTGTAAACATGTGAACTCTTGTGAAACTCAAGCCGATCCCTGCACACAGGAAGTGGTGTGATAACTAAAACGCGGAAGTGGTGCGTGCATAGAGCCCATTTTAAAAATGTGAGGATACAATTTTTATAAAATAAAATAATAATAATAGTAATGTATTTTACTTATTTTTGTACTTTATTTTAAAATAACAAAAAAAAATAAAAAAATCCATGTTCCAGCTTCTTCCCTCTGGCAGAAGATATCGTTCACTGAGATGCAGAACATCTGGTTTCGCTTCAGCACTTTAATGGTCTTGCACTTGTTTTGATATGGGGACTTTTGCAGGTGTATTCCAATGTGGTTTTACTGCAAATGGCAAATAAATGAATCTGAATCTTGATTTAATTCTCTCTTTGGGCCTGGCCCCGAGGAGATTACCCCTGGTGTTGGCTTTTTGTTTGCAAGATTTATTTTATGGACACCACAAATGACAAGTTGTTTGGTTTTAACAGTGTATGTGCTGTGTATAACCTCAATAAAAAACATTGTTAAAATTTCAAAGTTAAAAACAGAATTAAAACTTGATAATGCTAAAAAAAACAATGTGTGTTCAAATGTAATTGTATTTTTTATTTTTTTATTTTTTTATTTTTTATGTATTTGTTTCAATTGTAGACAAAAACAATACTACACATATTACAATTAAATGTCAAATAATTGACAGAAAGAAGAAAAAAAAATCTTATGTTGCCTGCCCCTTTCTTCATACATGTACAAATTAAATAAATAAAAAAAGAAAAAAAGAAAAAAATAAGATGGCCTTTAGCACTTCTTCAAACTGTGTTTATTTTATGTGTTTTTGTTTTCATTATTCTTTGTTTTTTATTGTTTTTTTTCTAATCATTCATTTCGTACGATTTCACTGTTGTTGCTTTGATTTTTTTCTTAAACATGTGGATGTTTGCGGATTTTTTTATTTCATAGTCAAGTTGATTCCATAGTTTTACTCCGACCACTGATATTCCCATGTGTTTCTGGGTGGTTCTGGCAAAAGGGACAGAGAAGTGTAACTTCCTTCTACTGTCCTGGTTAATATTGAGAGAGAAGAGCTGTTGTACAGCTGCTGGCAGCAGAGAGTCTCTGGCTTTGTACATCACAATGAGTGACTGTAGTTTGATCAGATCCTCAAGTTTTAACAGTTTTGATTGTATGAATAGGTTGTTTGTGTGTTCTCTTGAGTCCACTTTATGAATGATTCTCACTGCTTTTTTTTGTAAGAGGATTAGAGGATGTATGGAGTGTTTGTATGTGTTTCCCCATACTTCTAAACAGTATGTGAAATGGGGCAATATCAGGGTACTGTACAAGAGCCTTGGGGCTTTATGATCAAGTGAATGTTTCACTTTGTGCAGTACCGAGATATTTTTTGATATTTTTCTTTTTACCTGATTTACATGGGATTTCCAATTTAATTTCTCATCCATTGTCACTCCCAAAAATGTTATTTCTTGTACTCTTTCAATTTTTGTGCTATTTATTGACACCTGGACGTCTGTGTTACTGTTATTGTTTAAAAACACCATGAATTTCGTTTTGCTTATATTTAATGATAATTTATTCTCATCAAACCATGTTTTTATTTTGGCCATTTGCTCTTCCATCGTCCTTGTTAATTTTTATAATTACCTCTTTGTATGATTCAAAGATGGTTTAACATTTCTGTCATGGATCTTGGGTCAGATTTGTTTCACATTGTTATGAAGGAAACTCTTATTTAAAACGTTTGTAAAAATATCTCTGAAATATGTTTAAAACCTCTTGTAAGTCATGGCTTAATGTAAATTCCTAATAAAACTATAAATATCACAATCAAACATATGCAAAACTATTTAGAGAAAAGGTACATACTACTAGGTATTTTTGACCTGACTTAAAAAAAAAAAAAAAGATTACTTCATGTGGCCTAAATATTACGTAAAATAAAATATGCTTTTGAATTACTAGACACAAACAGTATTGGTTTAAAAAATAGCGATAAAAGACATTTTTTATTTACATGAAAAAATGATTGCGTATTTGTTCTCCTTCTGAGATTGTTCACCTATAATAACTCAGGGGCGAAGATGAACTAACCCAAACAACCAATAACTTGACAATGTACAATAAAGAAAAATAAATATATTTTTAAATCCTGTTTTATCTCATGTGTGATCTCTCCTGTACACCACTTGGGGGCGCTAACAGCAAAGTCACGGTCCATACTGCAGGGGTCACCAACGCGGTGCCTGCGGGCACCAGGTCGCCCGCAAGGACCAGATGAGTCGCCCGCTGGCCTGTTCTAAAAATAGCTCAAATGGCAGCACTTACCAGTGCTATTCTTGTTTAAATCATACTTACATGCAACTTACAAATGGCATATAAACTAGAGCCGGGACTTTAACATGGTCAGGGAGCAGGGCCGGACTGGAGCACCAAGTCGGACACTAGCCTGTATCTGTATTCTGTCCTTTTTTCTATATTAAACTTTTTTATATTTCTAAGCATGAATTGTGTGTGTCCATTTTTCATCGAAGAGAAACATATTTTGGTCCTTCTTGAGCCGGATGTCAAAACATCATTTTTTTGGAGCTGAACATCATTCCAACTGGAGATCTAACAGCAGCGTGGCTTGGAGGTTGCAGGTCGAAAAACAACTGCAGCAACAGTCTCTTTGTGGGGTTTGATCAGCTTCGAATTTCGGATTGAAGACACAAAAGCCACGGACATCGCGATAACAGGCAAGTGTGAATTTACTTTTGAAGTCGGAGACTCAAAAAAGAGGCCGGGGATAACGAGGCTTATCCTTTTAATAGTCGAGGGCTATTTCTTAGGCCTAGGATAACGGGGTTTATCCTTCTAATAGTCGGGGAGCTATTAAAGACAGTCAAGGGGGGCCCGGAATAACAACAGGTTATTCTTTTAGATAGTCTGGAACTATCATAGACTGTAATAATAACGGGGTTATTATTAAGAGTAAGTCGGGGACTACTTTTTACTGCAGTTAAAAGTGAACGGGGTTCATTTTGAATTAAAGACGTCTGTGTGAATGTGTGTGTGAAAGGAGATCAATCTATACTTGAAGCACCGGACAACCAGAAACCTTGCGGTGATAACGAAAAGTTGTCGGCTTGGTGAAGTAGAGTTGGATTGCATCTCATTATGTTTTAAGTAATCGTGAAAGTGGTCTAAAACAATTACATTCCTTGTGATTAAACACCCAGAGAGAAACCGGATGAAACATTAAGTTTTATCTAGAAGCTTGTTTCTCAAGGAAGTGATTTGGCCCGTGAGGCATTCCACTAAGATCGTTTACAAATGTGTAATTAATATCCACTGTTGTATAAGCAATAGTTATTAAATAGAAGTTGAAGATATCTAAGTAATTTACTAAAGAGTAAATATGGGTTCATCTTGTACTAAAACGGTAGATCTAAAAGGAGATCCTAAGTTTATGCAGAGAAAAAATCCTGAATCAGTTAAGTATTTAAAAAACTGGAAGAAGAAGTA